CCACCTGAAATAATTTTTTTGCCGCCGCAAGCTTCTGTTTTTGAAAGTAGTCCCATCTGGAGGCCTTTTCCCAATACTCTGCCGAAGGGAGCATCGATCACAGAGGGCTTGTACATCAACCTTGCTGCCCTTTCGACGATGTGTCAGTAGTTCACGAGAGACCTACGGGTCCATAGTGATTACCTAGATGGCTTATTCTCTTTCTCCTTGCTCTTCAATACAATGTTCTCTTCAGAGATTGATTCGATGTAGTCTTCTTTTGCGGTGTGTTTGTTGGGATCTGATGAATTGTGGGTTTATGGTTTGGAATATTCATTGGAAGTAATGGAGTCTTTGCTGAATTTTGTTATGGATGATTATTATAGGTTTGTATTTCTCTTCGATCTATCCATTTGGTTTGGCCAACTAGATTGATTTATCTTCAGTGGGAGAGGTGCTTTGTAGTGAGTTCAATCTTGCGGTGTCCTCACCCAGTGACGACAGGGGTAGCGAGGCACGTATTTGTATTCTTGCCTTAAGGACAACGGGGTTTAATCGTATTTTGTGGGTTTATTCTGTCTCCATTATGTCATCTTGCTTAAAGTGTTACTCTGTTTGTTATGAACTTAATACCATAGATGCATGTTGGGTAGCGGTCGATTGGTGGAGTAATAGTAGTAGATGTAGAATTGTTTCTGTCTACTTGTCACGGACGTAATGCCTATATACATGATCATTGCCATTAATATCGTCATAACTATGTGATTTTCTATCAATTGCCCAACAGTAATTTGTTTACCCACAGTATGATATTCTTCAAGAGAGAAGCCTCTGGTGAAAACTATGGCCCCCGGGTCTACTTTTATCATATTACTAAAACCAAATATACCTTGCTGCAATTTTACTTTTTTTATTTTACTTTTCAATTCATTTATCTATCATTATCAGATTTAATCCTTGCAAGTAACGAGTTCAAGGAGATTGACAACCCTCTTGCCTGCGTTGGGTGCAAGTATTTACTGTTGCTTGTGTAGGTACTGCTTACTAGGCATTTGCTTGGTTCTCCTATTGGTTTGATAACCCTAGTTCTCACTGAGGGGAATACTATCCGCTACTATATTGCTTCACCCTTCCTCTTGGGGGGAAATCCCAACGCAACTCATAAGTAGCAAGTCCGTTCATAGGTCAAGATCCCTCTGCGCCATCTAGACTTAAATGTGAACACAAGTAATTGCTTTGAGAAATATGACATACCATTTTGTTTATGGGATCCAAATGTATTCTCTATCAAACCTTAACCCTTAGTGGCGACAATTTAATACAAGATTTTACACTTTCTGAATTCAATACAAATATTTTTCGCTTCTTCTCACTGTGGTAGATTACTTAAAATTGAACCCAACTAATGCACACCTCTCCCACTACTAATTACGGATCTACACTTGCCAAGAGTAAACAAGTAACTGGAGAAAAATATACATCTATAGATCAAACAAGATGGCTTTCATAAATTTGTACATAAATGAATAATTCATCACATGATCAACATCATCGCTAAGTGTGGATACATCATGTTAACCATAATTATGAAGGGTAGCTCATATGGCTATTGTATTGATCATATAAATACATCAAGATGGAGAGATTACACATTGGATACTATCGTGAACCCGTAATCTAGGGGGTGGACCACTCACAACTCATCTTGGAATGCAAGGATCGAGATTGTGGTGATGATGACGATGACTTCCCACTTCGGCGGAGTTTTAGATCATTGTTGAAAATAAAGATCGCCTCAAAATTTTGAAGTGGCGATGGCGAAAAAATGCTCAATAATTAGGGTGAGGGTTTCGAAGAATATATAGAACATTGGGCACTGAAGCAACCCTCGCGGTGTCCAGAAGTCATAGGCTCCCATGTAAGGTGGACGCCTCCTAGGGACGCCTAGGCCCCATGGGCCCCGCCATGGGCTAGTCCTGGCTCCCTGGTCCTCTTTTGACATGAAGGTTGCAAACCTAGTCTTCTTGAAATACAAAAACCGGGAACTAACACTGGGCACTGGATTACCATGTTAGTCCAATATAAATAAATAAAAGGTATGCTCATAGTGTATAGAATTGGTACAAATGTATCATGAGTCATACAAAAAATATAGATACGTTGGATATGTATCAGTGTGCACTAGGCCTGGCATTGCCTAAGCAGTAGGAATTGTTAGTTGGTTCATGAAAAATCTAGGTAAAGCTCATTGAGATTGTGAAGTGGATACTACGGTATCCCAAAGGAACTTCTACACACTGTTAATGCTTTGGAAGCGGTGATCTTATATTGTAGGGCTATACAGATTCAAATTATGTTGTTGAAAAGGATCACATGAAGTTCACATCTAGATACTTGATGACTTATGCAAAGGGAGCAGTGTCATGACAATTAAGATTGCATAAATGTGTTTCTACATCAAGTATGAAAGTTGAGTATATAGCTGTAGTTGATGGTTGCAAAGAAGTGATGTGGTGAAGAAATTATGATAATAACTTGACATGAATCAAGAGAAGTATGTTTTGTTTTGCGACGATCCATATTCCCCTTGCTAAGAATTCAAGCTATCACTCATGAATAAGCACAATGATGTGAGATATCATTGGATTCTAGATGTTGTTAATTCCAAGTTGCTACAACTTGAGAAGATCCAGATGACCAGTATGTTACCAAATGAGAAGCTATAAGCATGTTGCAAGGTAGCGGGCATGGCGGTGTCCCCTTCATGAGTCGGAGGAGATGACCATTTGAAGCCTTTTTGGTCGCTCAAAGATGTGCAAGAGTCCACTATCCATTAGGGTTATGACCTAGGGTAATTTTGAACTTTGCACATGACCGAAGAGGATTGTTTAGCCTCCATCCAACAGCCACCAACATAAGAGTGACGAATCTGAGTTGATCCTCCATTGAATAAGAAAACAGAAAACCAAGAGAGAGCAGGAAGAAAGAGGAAGATTGATGGAAGAAGCTTACCATCAAGCAAAGGGAGCTCCTCTTCAAGGTTGTGAAGTCCAAATCCACTATCTTGTCTCCTTCAAGTTTTGATTCCACCATCTTTGGTGAGAATGTTCCAATCACTAGCTCTCGCAGCCCCAAAATCTTGTTGATGCTATCGAAGATGAAGAAATCTTGATGTATGTATCTAAAGAAGAACTTGTTGCATCCCATGCTTGATAATAGTGAAAGAATATTTGAGTGGCTTCGGCACGTGGTTTTTACACCAACTCGAGGGTCTTCCACATAAAAATCTGGTGTCTACATGTGTTGATGTTTTGCTCTTGTTCAGAGAGTTCTCCTCACCAGACGTTGTTTGAGGAGCATCTGGGGTGTTGTGAAAGTTATTTCCTCCGTATATACTATTGCACATGTTTTCTTCTGTTTTAGCGAACGATCCTTGAATTAGTACATGAAATGGTGCTAAGATTGCGTTGTTTTTTGTGTTGTTGCAGTGCAGTTTTAGACCATAAGTGCGTGCTAAGTTCCGGTATTAGTGGTGATGGTCAATAAAGTGGTGATAAGATTGGGGTTCTTTTGGAGTAGATTTCTGGGATCAACTCCGGTAAGGTCATGCACAATGCAAGGTGCTTAGAGAGCTACTTAGTAAAATAAATCAAGTTTTCCTGAAGCACTCGTGCTTATCTTTACATGAGAGGTGCCTAATTAAGCATCTATTCTTTACAAATAAGCAGTTGTGCTTAAAAAACCAGTTTATTTCTCTAAGTGTCTCTTCTAAGCACATTGCATTGCGACATGCCTAATCTATATAGTCTATATCTATATACCAATACAAACACCTGCAAGAAAATGTGTGTACCAATATAAAATACTTAAATGGACATATCCAAATAATGTCGATCATTAAACCATATCAATGTAGTTACTTGCATTGCCCAATATTGAGCGTCAAGCATGGCGAGCGGCCAATATGCTTAGCATGTACTCCCTCCGTTCTCAAATACTTGTCTTTCTAGGCATTTCAAATGGACTCAACATACGGATGTATGTAGACATATTTTAAAGTGTAGATTCACTCATTTTGCGCCGTATGTAGTCACTTGTTGAAATCTCTAGAAAGACAAGTATTTAGGAACGGAGGGAGTAATTAATATCATACCTGATATAGACGTCGGTGTTGACCACATAATTAATATCGTACATAATATCAACGGACGATTAATATCCTATTTCTAATATATATATAAATCTAAGACAAACTTGCATAGTACGATTGTTGTGGAGAGTTAAGCGGAGCCGTCGGAGATGCTCTAAGATTGGCGGCAAGCACTTAGTTGGTGACGAAAACTGAGCCCGATGATCTCGCATGCTTATGTGGCCGCAGCCGTTCAATTTGGCCAGGCCAGCGGTTGTTGCTCCTAGTATCGTGGCCCCTTTTCTCCTGCAACCTCGGAGAAGGAGAGAGAGAGGGAGAGACATCGAGCTTGTGTGTCATGTCAAAGCGGAGCGAGGATTAGGGCGGCAAATTAGGCGAGCAAAAAGAAACAAGATACGATCCCATCATCTCGTCTCATCTCATCTCCCTCCTCGTCTCTCTCCGTGTCTAGTCTAGATCTCCCGCTCCCGAGTCCCCCGCGCCTGGCACCACTCGCCACTCGCTCGCACACTCTTCTCGGCTCCCGCGCACCTATATATACCCCGCGCATTGCGCCTCCGCCCCACACACAGCCGCAGGTTTCTTGATCCGGTAGGCTGCACGGACCGTGCTGCGCCCCCCGCGCCGCGCTAGCGCTAGTCCCCTACCCCCCCTGAGTTGCGACACCGCCCGCCACGCGCGCGTTCCCGGCCGGCCTGATCTCCCCTCGCCGGTCCTTCCGTTGCACCTCTGTTGGCTGCGCTCTCTCCCGCCCCGGCCATGGGTCCGTGACGCGATCCCATACATTTGGCGGTGTGCTAACTTCTCGCGTTCTGTGAGGCGTCGCCGGCGGGAGGAGGAACCGCGTGTTCGGTTGATTCGGCGCGACGAGATGGTGCAGGAGCCGAGCAGCAGCAGCAACCACCACCTGCAGCAGCAGCTGGCCAAGTACGGCGGCGGGAACGGCAACGGCAACGGCAACGGCGCGGCCACCGGCGTGGCGCGGGCGTCGAGGAAGAACAAGCCCAAGAAGATCCCGCAGCGCGGCCTCGGCGTGGCGCAGCTCGAGAAGCTCCGCATCGAGGAGCAGAAGAAGATGGGGGGAGGGCCGTCCGCGGCCACGCCGTCGTCGCACGCGCTCAACGGCGGCGCCCTCTGCCACCTCCCCGCGCCCACGCTGCACCATCACCCGCCGCCGCCGCCGCCGCCGCTGAGCGCCCTCTCGAGGCCGGCCGCCGCGGACCACTGCGGCTTCCCGCCGGCGCTCTGGAGCCCGGCGGATCCGGCGAAGCACCCGTACAAGAGAAACCTCTGCCCGCAACCTCCACTCCCAATGGTACGTGCCTGCCCTCTCCACGTCACCGCTCAGCGTATGCATGTCTATACACGAACGAGGTCACAAACTTGCGCAAATCTTTCGCCGACCAGGTGAGCACGGGCCTGTCCCTGACGGCGCCGTCGAGCCACCCACCGGAGCCCCCTTCAAACCAAATGTACAGCACCAGGAGGAGGAGCAGCGCGGCGGCGCCGGCGCCGACGGAGGACGAGAGGGTACGTATGTCTCACGCCGTTCCCATGATGAACTTGCCATGGATGGTTGCTAAATGTGGATTTGGGTAGAGTGTAGGAAACGGCCGGCGTGGATAGGTCCTGGCCCTTCATGTTCGAGGGGATGACCCCATTCACGACGACGAGCAAAGCCTTCCCCCCTCCTCCGTTGCCGCCGTTCGCCGTCAGGACGGCGAGCGATTCCGGGCTGGCCGATGTTACTCCTGACCTGAGCAGATACGAGTTCAGAGCGACCAATTATTTCAGGTAGATTGCGGTTTTAGCTCACCGTTTCAGTTTATCAGAGTTTAAATTCTTGCCTCCGTTTGCTCCTCGTATTCCGGGCAAGTAATTTCACTGCATTGTTGTTATTTCCAGAATTGTAGTAACTGCTCTTGTATCCAGTAGTTACTCCTATCCATCTCAATATCACTAAGATTTACAGCTTCACCCTCGTTGAATTTACTTGATAAAAATATAGTACTGTACTGTATTTACCATGAAAAAGTATTGCATTTTGGCAGAAGTTTGTTTTGATATCAACCAGGTGTTCTTGGAGTATAATCTGTCTTGTTTTTCACCTTCATCTGTACCGTGCAGCAGTGCAAGTGCGTACCCAAGTTGTTCAGACTGGACGCCAGAGTTCGGTCACTGCAAGGACACCGGCCGAAGCAGAGACGCTGGCTTGCTCACCCTGAGCTCGCGGCCTCCACAACTCATGAGGCAGCCTCATGTGGTGCCATCAATGCACATCCCGGAGTACGGCGACTTCAGTGCCAGCGCCATGCCATCCCAGGCAAGTGAAACGCCATGCCCTTCTGAACCCTGTAGAATGTGTGAGCTTGCTCTGACTGTAACTGATGAAACCTTTTTGATCAGCTCGGGAGCGTTTCCGCTTCGCCGTCATCGTCGGCCCTGCCATTCTACAACTTCCTCCCGATCGGCCCGGTCGACCGTGAGAGGGCCCCGAGCGAGCGGAAGGCCGACGTGTCGGATGGGGAAATCGACTTGGAGCTCAAGCTGTGGAAGGGCTGACCAAACCTGCAATGAACATTAGGAAGTTGTGGAGAAGGGTACGTAGAGACAGATGTGTTCAAGTAGCAACACCAGATGTATCAAGAGATGTTTTCTCTAGGACATGTTTTTCACTGCCAATAAACCTTCTGGTGATATGGTTCAATTTACTGAGCCATTTCTGGCGAAGTGAAGTAGAGCAGTGTGCATGACGGAAGCAGGGAGCTTTTATGTATGGTCCAGGCAAGCTGGTGCCAAATGTAGTAGAAACTCAACACAAAAGTGTGAGATGGGTAGATGATGCCGGCAGCGGAAAGGAGAGCATGTGCATCGTGCAAGGATGGGCATCGCTTCACAGCTAGCTTGTGGGGTCTCTCCTGTGCACATCTAGCAACTGGCACAATGCAATTTTCTCTCTCTCGCACACACACACACATGACAACCTAGAAAATGCCACTCCATAATCTTCACACTGAGAGCAAAATCCAGATAAAACAGGTTAATCGCAAGCTTATTTCTAGCATGTAGCTCCCGGTATCCTCCGCATTATGTTTAATATACCAGTACCGAAGAGAAGAGAACACACACAAACGCTACGCCCAGACGAGACCTTAAGATAGATTCATGGATACACAATGCACACCGTGGATATGAACACAATAAACACCTCGAAGTCTAGACAGATAAATTACAATGAGTCAAAAATCATGACAGCATCAAACTCAAGCGTGTGTCCAGACTAGAAGAATGGGCCTATGACCAGCCGAAGACGAAGTCGAGAACGTAGACGACGGCGAGGGTCAGAGGGTACAGCAGGTAGGCCACCAGGCAGGTCCAGAGCGGGAAGCTGGTCCGGAAGCTTGTGAAGAGTCCCATGATGACACAGACGAGCAGGATGACGAGCACCTCCGAGGAGAAGTCCCACGTCAGCTCCCTGAAGTAGATGAGCGCCAAGAACACGCCCAGGCACAGTGTGTTGTTCATGGTCACGCCGCCGTATACCTGCAAGCGAATTTGTCGTTAGGTTTACCGAAGGATGTTCTTAGTCCAGAGTAGAGAGATGGACGGTTACAAGCTAAGGAGTTTCACTGTACCTCTGAGAAAGTGAGGGAGCAAGTCCTCTGCTTCTTCCTGCTGGCGAAGATGATGGCCGAGACGGCCTCGCTGGAATTGGTTGCCAGCGGGAGGCCGATGAACGAGACAAAGAAGGACGGGATGTGTGTGGCGTTAGAGAAGTTGTGGACAGCATCAACAAGCGGGTCTGCAAATGCGGCACAAATGGTAGCGCCGAGAAGCAGGTACCCCACGGCCTTGGCAATGCACCAGCCAGGGTTCTCGACGCTCTCCACTGCCTCGTCAGATCTGTCGACCAACTGGTCATGATCCTCCCTAGTTCTCTGCAGAATTCAGGCAACTCGGTAAGTGCCTATCTCTTTCGTGTCCAAGTTACACTACTATCTAAACTTGTTTTATGTGTTTCCCTAGTGTAAGTTATTATAATTCTTATCTGAAGAGGTGTGCTCTGTCTATTTCTATTTACAGGGATCGGAAGTAAATAAACTTACAGCATGGTAGTCGTTGACAAACTTATTAGAGTAGGCACCACTAGCCTCCACTTTTTGCTTCGCCTCATGAAGCCATATTTTCATTCCCGCGACAAACTCATCCTCCTCCACAGTGTCATTGCCTGAAGTATCAAAGTCGTCCATGATCTTATCGACAGCATCATTCTTGTCAAAGTCAATCTCCTCAAAGTTGATCCCGATAATAAGCGCATGTAGCTCTGCTCGTGACAGGTTACGGCTGTCATCATTGTCAATCTTGTGGAACAACCTGCAGGTGAGCATAGACAAGGTTTCATATCATGCTCATGAATGCTGTGTTATTTGAATATCGGACTAATAATATACTTGAAGAACCTCACTTTCTTATGACGTTTTCATTAGGTGAGCCGTCATCGTTAAGTAGCCGGCCCAGTGCTTGCTTTTGGGCATGCTGTAGGATCCCAGAGATCACATGCTTGTGCTTTGCATATGCGAGCTTCCTCTTCTGAACCCAAGGCTGGAAAACCTGATGCAAAGAGTAGAATTAACTGTCAAAATTTAATCCAATCTTTTCATCATTTGCAGCCTCCTACAAATGAAACTGTCTAAATATTTACCTGATACAGGCAGTAGCCGAGTACAAGTGAGAATGAAGCGATTAGGGCCAGTAAGATGGCTAGGCGCTCCCCATGGTGAGTCTTCAACATTTTCGGGAACTGAGCAATGACAAAGGGAATAACAGATATGGCCATGATTCGTGCTGCGTAGCTAGTTTGCACATCAGTTGTAATGCCAGAGCCTGCAACAGGGTGCGATCATATCAAACACTGTTAAATAATTCAATAACTGAGCTGTTGTATTCTTTTCGAGATAAAACTGACAGCATCGTACTGCATAATTTACAACACAACCAAGTATCAGAAATCTTCAGACTGCAGTAACAACATACATACATACAGAGTGGCAACTTACCAGTCAAGCTGAAGCCCTTAGTGTCAGTTGAATCAATAGCAACACCATTTTCCCCAACATCACACTTGCCAACAACAACACAAGTTCCCCAAAGCAGGGTGAGAAGAAAGACGGTCGAACCAGCAAGCAGCCCCATTCCGATGAGGACCTGACTTTGTGCAGTCTCTTTAGTCCCAGAGAGACCAGATACTGTTAACATAACAGAACAAACAGATCAGAATTATGTGTGAACGCGTGCATCAAGCGCAGTCTGCATAGAAATTAAATAGCTTCATGATTCTAGCATATGGACCATCATAACTCCGTTGTGAGCAGAGCATCAGAGACAACAAAAGATGTTTCTGTCACATAAAAATGTTCATACCACCTAAAATCCAAGTAAGAATGTGCAAAAAAGTACTTACAAATGTTTATACCACCTAAAACCCAAGTAAGAATGTGCAAACAAGTACTGTAGCAAGCTAGTCTTTGAAGTGATCACAGGAGAAGTACACCATTTATTAAGAGATACCAAATATTGACGATGTTGAATTTAGAAGTGATCAATTATACTAGTTATGCATATCTCACTGAGAATAATGTAGAAAATTGGCAGCCGTGTTATGTTATAAAGCATGTTGCGTGCTTGTACACTATTAAAATTTGCATTCCTGTCTTTGTACTAGCCTTTACTAATGTATGTAACAACTTATTATTCTTATTTTTGAGTAATTTCTACAGAGATAACTTATTTCAATAGGGAACCTTGCATTTGATCTTTGGAGAAATAAGGTCCTTTCTGATACATGCAAGTAATCAATGTGTTATTGTCGGTAACCATATGATGTAGTACTACCGTTCCACAATATCACAAAACAATTAACTGTAAGATGCCAACTGATTAACTGACCGACTAATAGAACACCTTCCCAATACACTAGTGATGATACCTACCCATCACCAAGACACCGACAATTGATCAGCGAACTATGGCGCTTTTTCCCACAATATTTCAAAAGCTATTCTCAAAGAATCACTGTTGTTACCATACAAAAATACCGATCAAAGGCAAGAAAACCCCACGAAATTAGAGAGAAAAGCAGCTCGAAGCCATCACCAATCCATTATGTGTGCGGCGGACAAAGAAAGGTAAATTATGCAAAGAAGATAACAAGAAAAGATTTTAGAACAGAAAGTGGGGAAAGTCAAGGCCAGTGAGCACAAGTATACTGGTGAAACTTAAATAAAAGTTAATGAACCGACAGATCCCAGAGAAAGCAGGGCATAATTTGCAAACTCTGTTTGTCCGTGGGCGTGGGTGGTTGGTTGGGGCTTAAGATTTGGTTATAAATTACCAATATAAAGGTCTCCAAATAGTCTACTTTTGGGTTGAGCCATGCATGTGCCAACGAAGCTGATGAGATCAGCAAGAGAAACCGGGCTACTGCACAAGCCCAAGGTCCGCCAATGGGGGTCATACAGCAGCTTATTATGCTCTGATCCAATCAGATCAAACCAGAGGGCTCAGATCTGAAACAGATCAAGAACCGAAAAGAGCCAACATAAACGGGAGGATTTGCTTTTTACTCTTCTATTTGTTGTCAACAAGCATTTACTCTTTGGTACGATACTACTTTTGTTTCTAAAGAGTAGCTCGGGAGTTGCTTCAAGCGCAAATCATTCTCTCCTTCAGAGAGAACCGAACTAGTAGCTTTTTTGGGCCTTGAACGGGGTGTCTTAGGTAGAATTTAAGCAAGGAAGCAAGGGCGAGCATACCGAGCACGAGGAGCGCGTCGGGGAGGGCGCCGAGTATGGGGAGGAGGAGGCCGCCGACGAGGCCGGGCCCCATGATCTCCAGCAGCAGCTCACTGCCGGCTGACAGGAACGTGGCCGCCTTGAACATGAGGAACCCGTAGGTGAGCACCAGGAACATGTTCCCGAACACGGTGGTGGTGCACGGGAGGAAGCCGTACGTCTGCTCGCACTCCTCGGCGGCGGCGGTGGCCGGCGAGGAGGAGTTGAGGCGGAGCACGGCCGAGGACAGCGGGGACGCGAGGACGGAGGAGGACGGGGTGGCCGGCATGCCGTCGGAGATGAGGCGGCCATAGGCGGCGACGGCGAGGAGGGAGACGAGGAAGGGGACGAGCGGGAAGGCGCGGCGCTGCCGGCGAATCGCCATTGCGACGGAGGTGGGGGCGGGGGGCGGGGGCGTCGCGCGGTGGTGCTGGGGAGTGCGGGTGGGTGCGCGTAGCCTTATATGGTGCGATCCGAGAGATATTTCAAAATTTTAATCTATTTTTTGCTTTTAGGAAGTTTCTATTCCTTTTTTTTCTTCTTCCTTTTGGGATCCATGTGGCGGGAATAGAAGAGGCTGCTCGGGCCGGGAAGAGGCGGACCATTCAAAGAATCCAACCATGATGATATGGCAAGTTAAACAAGCTAAAAGTAAATATTCCTTGATTATACGGTGTTTTTGGAGCTGTAAATATTCTTTCCTTCGCCGTTGAGCTATTGTTACTTACCTTTGTACGCTCGACTCACAAAATTGCAACCTAGCTGGTTTTGAAACACCAAAATTATGAACACAACCATGTCTTTTTTTAGAACACGCTCCTAACCATCTAACCATAAGTTGGTTCACTAAACACAATCATGTCAAAAATAATAATGATTCATGAACACAAGAGCAAATTGCATAGATGCTCTAGACACCCTACGCCCAGACTCCATCTCCTGGATTTGGACCCCCAGCGGAGACTATGTGAGCTCCGCCTACTCAGCTCAGTTCATCGGATTCCATGGCAAATTCGAGACAGATATGGTGCGTCCATGCGGAACCAAAATGTAGGCTCTTTTCTTGGCTGGTGCTCCATAATCGGATCCTCGCCGCCGACCGTGTGGCCCTGCGAGGCTGGCCCCATGACTCCATCTGCCTGAGCTCCATGGAGACGGTCACCCGCCTGTGTAAGGACTACCCCTTCACCGTGCCGATTCATTCCATGGTGCTCTCCAGGCAGGGAGTCAATTTGAGACAGAATCTTGCCACTTCTTCCACCCCCATTGATGTCTGGTGGGAAGTTCTCCTAAGGCACTCCAGCAATGACACCAAGAGGCGCCACAACGGTCTCATCATTTACATCATGTGGAATGTTTAGAAGGCAGCGCTCCTACCGGTTGCTCAAACAAAATTGAGGCACCATATATTCTAAATTATTAGAGCAAGTTACCCAAAATTACTTAAAATCATTGCTTGGTTATATATTTATGAGTAGTGAAGTGTATCTTTGGTCCATAAACTACTTCGAGCGTCTCACTTAGGTGCTCGAAACTTGGAAATCATCATTCAAGATGGAGATGATGGTGCTGACAGTGGCATAGATCCTCAAAACTTGAAAGTGCATTAGTGATTCATGTAGGTCCAAAACTGCATGGTGCCATTCAATCGTCCCAAACAGTTGTGTTGATCGTAGACATGTCAGGTAGGGGAAACGATGACTAGAGAGGTAACATACGAGCTTCTCAACTGTTAATTGGCAACCAAGATGGAGATGATGGTGGTGACGGTGACAAAAGGTGGCTCCTTCTTTGGGTCAATGGTGGCAACAAAGAGATTGAAATTTGGGGGTTGGAGTAGCATGTTGGCATACCATCATTTGGGGTGGCCAACGCCCAAGTCACACAACTCAAACCTCTATTGCTTGATATTGGGATCTCGTCCCACAAGACAACACATTCTTGCTTGCACCCATAGGTGTGTGGATAGTTCCTATGTGGTGGCATCCTCATACTCCTAGGCTTCAACCACATCTATGTGAACCTCCTTGTTGGTTGTTTCACTGCTCCTTTATTGCCTCCTTATTTCTAGTGTTGAGTTTGCCATGTTCATCTGTAATCTCAGCCGCCCTCCACCACAGTGACACACCGACTTGGACATTGATCGAGCTCAAGAAAACCACGCAAAATCTCCCCCATTGATGAGGCTTACTGCGCTCTTGAGCAACATGTTTGATGGCGTCGCCACAATCTGGCTCTGGAACTAAACTTAGGATAAGGGTGTACTCCTTACACCAACCTCCTATTAAAACTCTAAACTAACAGGGCAGACCCAATCACCAGCTCTATTTCTCAAGAAGGAAGAACACATAGGGGAACAGAAAGAAGAAACATAGGCAAAATGATTGTTGGGGCTTTTGAGGATACACATCTAGTTTAGAGGATTATTGGAAAAAAAAACTATGTCGGATTGCAGAAATTATGCCACCAAGCCTCCTTGTACGATGTGTCACATGTCAACATGCCAGATGGGACAATCAAATGGCATAGGGGAAATTTTTGACCTGGATAACTCGCTAAATGCACTTTCGGGGCCTGGATGATAATTTTTAAAATATCATAACTTACGTCGGACACTTGAATCGTCTTAGGGACTGATGATGCACTTCACTCTATCATGACTATATCACGAACACGAAATCCTTGATGTTTTAGTTAGATCCCATGTTTGCTAATATTCACTTTAAGATTTCGTGTGGAACAATTACTTTCAAGCTTGAAAGGAGTCTTCTAGAAATTTATTATGTCCTAAATGTAATTGCATTTTTCCTATGAGGAGGATGGTTTGTCCATGGTAACCAGAAAATCTTGAAGTACCATGCTTGGAGATTTTCGCAAGAACCTGGATGTAATTGCCCCATCCAACAAAACTCTCTCTCTCTCTCTTTCTCTCTCTCTCTCTCCACGCCGTCACACCGCTCCTTCTCCTCGGCCTACAATCTATTGCTTTAACCTATATTTTTAAATATAAAGCTACGACATATGTCCTTACTCTTGCCATGATATGTTAGGGTATCTCCAACGCCATCCCCTAAGGCGATTACACTATTTGTAATATCACATCCGAGATAATTGGATGTTCAACACGTTTTTCGAATTATCGATTCAAATTTCAACGATACTCGATAGAATCATCCCACGCATAGTTCCCCTTGAGCTTCATCCAACAATTTATGAGCGTAAATGGCCTGCCCTCCATCCAGTGGTACAACACAACAACGCATCCAAGCTATACAACATGATGATTATCAAGTTGTAGCATTGACCAACATGTAGAGCAACAAGCAAAATTTATGACCTCCATGGTTGATGAGCCTTATGGCCACATTGTCTCCACTCGTGCAATCACACCGCAAAACTTCATGACACCATCAATGTGTTGTCCAA